GCTAGTTACAGCAGCATGCAGGCTTGAGATACTTACCCAATTGGGTAGAGGCAGCTGCATGGCTTGAGATATGAATTTCTAGAAAATATGCCAGTAGAGTTTAAGAGAATTCTCTGTCAGGCACATCAAACCAGAAGCAAAAAGCACCTACTTGGAGTAAAATATACCGATTTGGGAGTTAAGATAGTAGGTTATGTGGGTAATGTGACAGATATGTGAATACTAATTAGCGGTTAGGGAAGGAAGTACAAAAACCAGATCAATAACATGTGTGGGAGAGTGATGGCTCTGGTGGGTTTTAGCCGTGGATAAATAGTTTGTATACTTGATGTCCTAGTTTCAATATTTATGTGTAATATTTAGTGTTTACAGCACTATCATATGTCAATTCATCTAAATATTAATAAATAAGTTTGGGGTGGGTGCTACACCCGGGGTACTCCCCTAAATATTAAAAAAAAAAATTTTAAAATATAATATTTATAATATTAAATATTATTAATATAATTTAACAAAATTATAAAAGCTAAATATTTTATTTTTAAAATTTTATTTATAGATCTAGTAAAAAGCTCTGCATCTAAACAAATTCTTGATATTATTCAAAAAAGATGAAATAGTATGTATAATCCTGTAATAGAAATAGCATATCTTATTGATTCTAGATTTCAAGGAAAAATATTAGCTAATAATATTATAACAACTGTATCTGATTTTATTAAAAAATATTATCCTGAAATGTGTACTAAAATTTATAGTCAATTATTAGAATATTTAAATCATTCAGGTCCATTTAACAATATTATAGCATGGGAAACTGTTAATAATGTTGATCAATTAACATGGTGGTCTGGCAATTTTTCAAATTCAGCACCTGAACTTACTCAATTTGCAAAAAGAATTTTAACAATACCTACATCATCAGCAGCAGCAAAACGTAATTGGTCTGATTTTAGTTATATAATTCAAAAAAAAGAAATAGACTTAAATCACCAAGAGTTTTTAAATTAGATTATATATTTAACAATAGTACATTAAAAAATTTTTATGATGCTAAAAATGAATTAATTAGTGAAATAAGCCAATCAAATTGGTTAAATATTAATAAAATGATTTAAATGATAAATTTTGAAAAGATTTATTTGATAATAATGAAAATGAATCAGATTTATTTGATGAAGATAACTTAGATGAATTAGATAAATTAAATTATTTTAATGAAAATCAAGATAGTGAAGATTATTATAGTGAGGATCAATATAGTGAAGATCTATATAGTGAAAATCAAGATATTGAAGATTTATATAGTGAAAATCAAGATATTGAAGATCTATATAGTGAAAATCAAGATATTGAAAACCAAAATATTGAAGATCAAGATAGCGAAAACTAAGATATTGAAGATCAAGATATTAAAGAATAAAAAATTAATTGTAAGAAATTTATAATAATTTTATTAAAAATTAATAATAATAAATTTATTAATTTTGATTATTTAAAATTATTAAAAAGAATATAAAATATAGAATATAAAAAAAATATAAACCTAAAAAAAATTATAAAATATAAAATATAAAAAAAATAATAAATTTAAAAATAACAAAAAAAAACATATAATATAAAATATAAAAAAATATATAAAATTAAAAACAACAAAAAAAATATAAAATATAAATATATATAAATAAATTGGTAAGCATATTATTTTATACCTTATTTTTATTTTATTAAATATTATTATATTATTGATTAATTAATTTATTTATTTAATTTTTAATTTATAAATTTAAATATATAATATTAAGGTGAATCTGAATTGATAAATTTAAATTTATAATATTAAGACGAATCTGAATTGATAAATTTAATAATTATATGATTCAATTACTTTAAGCTTAAATTGTATAAGAAATTTCTATATATGTTTTAAAATAGGCAAAATCTATATAAGCATTTTTTATTTATAATAAATGCAGTAAGATTTATAAGAAATAATTATTATTTTAACAAGAAATTATATTCACAGTAATGATCTTCATATATATTTTTATTATTCATGAGAAATTCAAAAACTCTACTCAATCCCGCGGATCCCGCGCGTGATCCCGCATCCCGCGCAGGATTTTTAAAAAAATCGGGATTTGCCCATCACTATTCACAGTAAAGATGTTAGCATTTTGATTCTCTTAAGTGCGGACACTTGAACGTGCCTAGTTCTAGTATTAACTTTAGTTATAATATTATAGTTTACCAATGGCATATTATCAGTCACACGATTTGTCACACAGACCATATGTGTAAAATTTTTAATTATGGGTCAAATAAATGAAGTACCTAAATTTCATATGCAAAATTTAGACAAATTTTGCTTTCTTGGCTTATTTGGCAAGAAGAAGCTGTCAGCTTAATTTCTGTGTTTGTGTTTGCAACTTCTCTAGCATTTGAAGGTTCTTATTGTAAAGTTTGGTAATAACCACATAATTTTTCATGACATTTAAATATCTTTTAAATTTCGTAGCAGACAAGAAAGTGAACTGAAATAAAATACATATGTTACTTTTAGTAACTCAAAATAGTTAATGATATGAATATTTAATATTTATTATAGATTTCTAGCTTATAATTAGAAGTACTATTAGATAATAAAAGATCTCTCAGGGTGTTTGAGACAGACTTCAATGTAAATTGATTTAAAGGATTCTTACGTCAAAAGAAAAACTACCAAAACAAAATTTAAGAATAATAGTCTAAAATTATAGAATAGGTGAGAAAAAATATTTATTTTTATAATATAAATAGGATTAATATTGCGATAACTAAGAAAATTACAATGCTATATAGACACGTATTTTATATAATTTAGCTTAAATCTAAATTTCCGAATCTATTCGGAATTTCTACATAACTAATTAGTATCGAATATACTGTATTCTGAATATTTTTCGTATCATATAGCTTACTAGTATACAGAGTGTATTTGCTTAGTAGGTTCTAATTTAATCTTGTTAGCCTCAAAAAATTGTATTTTGATCTTTCTGATCCATCTTATCTAGCAGTAGGTCGTTTATCAAAATCTTTATCCATAAATATCATAGCTAATTTAACATAACAATCAGGTCCTAAACACTTAGGCCTTGATCCACCGATGATTCTTGATACAAGATCACATATTTTCAATGCTCAGTATAGTTAGATAGCATTATAAGGCTCCTTGCATAACAAATATAATATTGTTTCTTTTTATGGTGATTCTTAGCAGTTGTAGCTCGATTACAACTATATGCACTTACACTAGCTATACCATTAAACGGAATTCCATCAAATAATCTTTGTCCGGTCGAAATCTCTGTCGCAATAACTCCAAAACTATAAATATCTAATGCTTGAGTATACGCTTGACCCACCACAAATTTTTCCTTCCTTTACTTTTTTAGAAAGCCCAAGATCAGTGATATATGCGTTTTGCAAATCTTGTAGCAAAATGTTTCCGCCGTGCAAATCTCTGTGAACGAGTTCTTGAGAATAAATCGACACAAGATCCAAAATTATACAGTACAAGATATTCAATTTATCTTTCCATTCCAATTGTGCTACATCCATAAGATTTTGTCGTAACGAACCTTTTGGTACAATCTGCATAACAATAAAATAATTACCATAATTATTTCTTGATACTCCAACACATTCCAAGAACGAAGGGTTTTCGTAACCAATTTCACAGTAATTCTTCAATTCCTGAATAAATTCTTGCTCATTTTTATTTGAATCATGAATCACTTTAATTGCAACATCCAGCCACGCTTCATTAATTCTATCAAACCAAGTTGCTCAATATACAGTTGCAAATCCTCCTTTTCCACATTCTTTGATAATTTTGAGCTCATTATAATCAATCCAAGATATTTTAAACCTCTCATCGTTTAATGTTCTCTTAAGTTCAGGATTGATATTATCAGGTGATTTATTAGTTTTCAAAAGACTTCTACAGTATAGCATGTGAACCAATAATTAACCTTTTGAATATTTCTCTTTGTACTGTACCAATACTGTTACGATAACATCGAGCAACATTTAGCATTGCTACTTTCTTCTTTTCGTCTTTCTTGACGCCAATAACAAATTCATAATTGCAACAAAGATCATAAAGTTGTTTAGGGGCTTTTTTCTTAAAGAAGGAAAAAAATTTCATATTTTTAAAAAATGGATGCTTTAATTTGTCCGAAGCGTAACGGAGGGCATTTGATGTTTAGTCAAAGTAATACAAAAGTTATGACAATAGTTACATTTTTGATTAGCTCATTAGTTGATTTAATTTATTAAAAATGTAATTTCGAAAATTTTCATGCATATTTGTATTTTTTGATGTAACAAAAAAAAACCAAAATTATACTAATGAAGTTACAACAAATTCACTATCCCTTTTGACATCAAATTTCGTACAAAAGAACATTTAATTTCATACAAAATTAAGATTGATTAAATCGCGATATCTTGTGATATAGTAATCCAATGTAGGTGATTTTGATACCACTCGAATCGTCTCATTGAGAGGATTTGAATGGTACCAAAATCACCTACACCGGATAACTACATCACAAGATATCGCGATTTAATCAAGCTTATTTTAGTTGTCATTTTGTACAGATTTGAATGTCACTTTGTACGAATTTAAATTTCATTTTGTACGAAGTCGAATGTCGCTTTGTACGAATTTGAATCTTATTTTGTACGAAATTAAATGTTCTTTTGTACGAAATTGATGTCAAAAGGGAAAAGTAAGCAGATAATTTCGCTATTACTTAAAGCTCTAAAAAAATTCTGCTACAAGTAATGAATAGTAATTGCAAAGGTGTGTTTCATAAAGATAATATCTGCATTTATTTACAGAAAGCTAAAAATATCAATTTTAATACTCTAAACATTATCTTTGGTAATTCCATTGAAACGGACTGGCTGAAGTGGAGAATACTTTATCTAAAAAATAAAATATTTAGAAATTTTCTTTATAAATTCTTACATAATTGATACATAAGCATGATATTCTCATACGAGTTAAACATTATGCAGTTATGACATGGTAAAGATACTTGTATGAAATCCAAATTTAGGAAATATAAATGCAGCAAACCTACATTGAGATACTGTAATACAATCGATGTGTGAATAGTCAGAGAAGGTTGTACATGTGTAAAAGAGATATTCACCTTTAATTTTCTTATTACTTTATAAGTAATGCGCGTATATCCAACGTAAAAGTATTTTAATTTTCTATGGGCAAACGTAAATTTACAGATTGTAGATAATGATCCATTCTTAATATGCATTTTATTTAAATTAAGGCGAATAAGTTTGCTTAGGTCTAATTATAGTTGTTAGACGAAACCTTGAGGTTTCGCGCTGACGAAATGCGAAACCTAGTTTCGTCTTTCGTCAACTAAAATCTTGAATGACGAAATGACGAAACTGACGAAAGGTGACGAAACTGACGAAAGGTGACGAAACTAGCGAAAGGTGACGAAACTATCGAAAGGTGACGAAACTATCGAAAGGTGACGAAACTGACGAAAGGTGACGAAAATGACAAAACTGTAAAGGGTAAAAAAAACAATAAAAGACGAAGAAACAAATTACATAATAAACAAGTTTAAATAAGAGCTCTATTGGCTCTAGGGTTGATAGTGCGATACATAATATGTAAATTGATAATACAGTAGAACAAGTATAACTTGCACATATAACAAATTTAAGGCTTACCGGTAAATAGTTTTATGCTAGTTGAGGAAATTTAACATATGGGAGCTTTGCTAGGAAAATCAATCCCCCTAGCATAACCACCACGATCAGTTACGTAATCGCTGATCTGAGATACTTAGCCATATCTCGTAACACAACATATAAAAATTATTATCATTATTATTATTAAATTTTTTATAATTTTTTATTGCGGCAAGAAAAGTGTTTATCGTTATTTGAAATTTCTTTGGTAAAAATTATTATCTAACTTTACATAAATTTTTATTGCATCAAGAAAAAGTGTTTATTTGATAAATTATTATTACCTAACTTATATACTATATCATAAATTTTTATGAATTAAGTTTACTAATAAAAAAGTATTTTATTTTCGTGTATTCCAGGTTCTTGAGATTTTTTGCTTAGTTCAGATTCTTTATGCCATCTATTATCTTTTGAATTGGCGTGAAATTAATCAATATTTTTTGACTATTTTTTTGGTTGTGGAAGGCTATAAGACTTTTTATGAAGGTCAAGCACCTATATCAGAATAGTGTTAATATCATATTTAGATATTTTTATACTGTATAATTTAATTTGATAAAAACAATAAATAGGTTATACTTTATAAAGAATTTTTTTGTATTGATCTATAATTCT